ACTAGACTCTTACTTAATTTCAAAGAAATGATTTCTTTACCTTCGACATTTCGTCGGTTCAAATTAAACATTTATCACTTTCGGATCTAAAGCGCAATCAGTAGCTAATCATGGTTTATTAAAAATATTGTGCTGCCATAACTATAAATTTCTAAACCACAACAAACGGTTTGCTATCGCATCTAATGCAATAGGCACAGTAGCAAAATACTTAACTATCACAACTAAAACATTAGCTGTCCATATTTTACAACTTAAATTTAGTTGCCACGTGCAGTTTTTAGCTACGGTAGCTACATTTTTCTTGCCGTGTAAAGGCGTAAGAGCCAAGACGGGATGTTAATGTCTAAATAATTTTACTTTTAAGTCTATTGAGAAAAATAATACCTCAGCTAGGGTTTGAACCTGGGCCTCCCTCTCACTAGGCTAAATAAATGAAAGTAGACTAATTTTGGGAAGAATTGTATGTGATAGGAGTTTCAAATATACACCTCGAGCAACAGTAGTACAAGCATGCGCTGCAAGTTGGCGACACCGATCGGACACGTGCCGTCCGTTACTACTACCATTAGTTCGCTACACTGATTGTGAGAAAAAGTCTTTGAAAATGTATTTGTGGCATATGGAGTTTACTTCACTGAAATAAACATTATATGCCACAAATACATTTTCAATGACTTTTCAGTGTATCAGGATATTAATAAAACATTATTAAAATTATAATTCAATTATTCTCAGACTCTTGATTCTGCTTGAATCTCGTAGCTGCGATATCGCTGCCGTCTTTTGCATAATTTATGTATTTTATGTATGTATCTCATGTATTTTAAACTTGTATACGTATTTGCGTTGTTAATATTCATAATCCTTCTTGTCTTTCGCATTCAATAAAATCGTTGCCTAAATTAATCTTAAACCTAAATATCATAAATAAATTAATCGTCTCCGGCACAATGGGGCAATTGGCTTTTACATCGTTCCATTTCTACCGTTCTACTCGGCAATTGCGAATATACTGTGGCACAAATGGTCGCAATCGGAACCGCTACGAAAGATATTTCACGTTCAACTCGCAATAAGCTGCGGGCCGAGCGCGGAACGTAGCGAGAGAACGGCGTGCGAGTCGCGACTCCGTCGTTGAGGCGGTGCCGTTTCCTCCCCGGAAAATAATATCCCGGTGGCGAACGCGTGGATATTCGCCCGCTTGAAAACGGCGCGGCCTTACGTCCCAATGGCTTTAACGTTATTTCCGACCGAGATTTGCCTGAAATTTGCTTCCGTGCCGGGACCAGAAGCCCATAAATATGTAATACCTCCCATATCGTGCGGCTCGGTTGCCCCGCTCCCCCATTTTCTCCTCGTCGCGAGAACCCCCCGCTGAACCCCCTCCGTTGTCGGCGTCGCTTTTGGTGACTCTTGCAACCCCTTACGTGTTTTTGCGGGGCTGTAGCTCGCGGCGATGTACAAGGGGAAACGCGGTAAATCATTTGTCCCGAAAGAAAACACAATGCAATATCCCGGTCGAGACGCCATCGCCCGCGTCTCGCCCTCCTCCTCTCTCCTCTATTTGCCGCCGATATCTTCTCCTTCCTCCTCTCTATCTCATTCCCCCTGTCTCTCTCTCTATTTTTCGAGGGAATTGCGAAAGCCATAAGTCAGCCCTTATATTGCCGAAAATACTTTAAAGTGCCTCGCAGAGCCTCGTATAGACGCACCTCGTGCAGGCGCGCTTTGCCTCTTACGAGAACCTAGACATGTTTTATCGCTGCTGTTAAACGGACAGCAGAAGAATGACACACACGGACCGAACGGAGGTGGATGCGCTTTCGGGTGACGATTTTCGAGAAGCGCGACGCGCCCGGGGTCGTTAAAATCGCACGGGGCCCGCCGCGAAAAGGATAACGCTCCCTTCGGTTATTTATAACGGACATTTTTTACCCCGAACACTTTACGAGCACGCGATTATCGGCCGAGGTTGACAATGATCGCGCGAACTTTGGCACGCTGATCCCGAGATTATAAAATAAATGAGGGAATAAAGTATGTCGTGTCACTGCTAATAATATCGTGCAGATTTGAAATAAAGGGTTATACGCCCAGAAAAAAGACCTATTCAAGTTAAATAAATGAGATATGTTGAAATCACGTGTCTTCGAACGTATTAAAATTTTATTTACGTCTAGTAAGATATTTGCTAGATTTGAAGAAATAGATATGAATTCTTGTTAGAGATTGCAGTCTTAATCGAATAAAATTTTGGTTAAGGTAAAGAAATCACTTCTTCAAAAATGAAATCGAAGGTCTAGTAAGGTCACAATTCGAAGAGAATTTGTTTGATTTGAAAGAAACATGTTGCTGGGTGTAGTTTTCTAAAGCGCGCTTGAATTCGCGCGTATTCACCGATAGAGAAACGTCGAACCCAATCTCCCAAGGAGAAAGTAGACGAAGATATTTTCTGCATTTGTAATTCTCGTGCGTCGAATCTATGTAACTTACAGATCAAATCTATGCTACTTTCCCCGATTCGAGTGCCGAACACGCGGACGCTGTACCATTTATATGCCATCGGAGTCGTGCGTCGAACAAGGGTGGCGCGCATTAGAATCCCGGTAAGCTCGGCGAGGCGGCAGGAAACTCGGCATATTTTTCTCCCGGTTATCGAGAGAGGAGAAGGAAAGAGGACGGTAAACCGCGATTCCGAAAGCATTTCTCGACGTAACCTAAAATAATGCCCGACAGAATCGAACAAAAGCATGAATTATGGACCCGCACCCGTCGCCATAGATCTCACCCACCCGGTAACTTATGATACACTTCCTTTCGGCATATGTGAAGGAAAACACTGTAGCGCGGGCACGACGATCCTTTTGTAATTTAACGGACGCGCTCTCTCCTCCCGGCCGCGACCTCTTAAGCTTTTTGCTGCGACGGAACCGTCGAGGAGTCCTCCTCGCAATGTTGCGGAGTAACAGGATTTACGTGGAGGAGAAAAAGCGAGAAGCCGATGACAAAGTGGCGCAAAACGTTGGCCAGTTTATCCCATATTATCGCCGTGTCATATAAAATCGGTGCGGAACGCTCTTTCCTCGATTTAAGAAAACGCGCGCGACCTAAGAATAATTCATGGGGGTGACTCGAGTCCTCGAGGTCTCGCGAAATAGCGAAAGTTTTCGACGCGCCAATGAAATCCTTACCGCGCCAAAATGACGAGTTGAACGTCCTCGAGAGCCGAAGCTCTCTCCTCGTGTGTAAGACGACTCGGCGGAATGTCACGTTAACGTGCGACAAGTGTCGAGAACTCTGAAGTTACTTGAAGGAAGTCGGCGCGCCGCGAAAGCGATTCCGACGGACGTCGTTTCATCGCCGGCGGTAATTTCGCGATTGATTCGCCATTAGATTCATGGCCCTCATGAGGAATTCATCGGCGGCTTGGCCTGGTCGCCGAAACTCCTCGCCAGCCATGAATACTTAGCCGCTCTCTGATGTTCCCAGTCTCGATCGATTCGCGTACGAGCCAAGAGTGTCCGAGGCTGTTGACCCCCCTTTCAACCTCTGCCTCTTCCTCCCATTGCTGGCCTCCCGCCTCCCCGCCGACCCGCCTCCTCGCGTTTTCGGCTTGGTTCCAGTTTGCTCTCTGCATAGGCGCAAATTATAATGCCTGGGCTTAGAGACCAACCGCTCTGACAAATTACAGGTTTGTTCACCGGGCGGTAGTAGATAGATTTCGTCGTTCCATCACCGTCGCTTCCAAGCGGACTCGCGCGCAAGCATGCATATTAATTCGATTTTAATCGGAATCTCTCTCTCTTCCCTCGTGACGTTGTACGTTCGACATTTTTTTCACGTCATTCAACGGTAACTAGCTCACTCGATTAAGCGCAAATTTATCGCAGAACAAGAAACGATTATTCTCGTTGTACGTTGACTCCACGAATCCTGTAACTTGAAACAATCGACATCGACCGGCGTTGCACTGACACGTTCGCCGAATCTTTGATTTATCATGCGCTCAGTTGCAAGCTGTTACATGAACCAATGCTTTTTCCGCCTCCACAAATCAAGTGCATTCAGAGCCGCCAGGAGATCATTACGCTTGGTTACACGCGCAATTCCATTCAGGTACACGTCGCGAAGGAAAGTTCCTTTCGCGTAAGACTACGCCGTTTCCGTCTGCCGTCCCGTGCGGGAGGAGACGGGGTGACCGGCTACGAAATTAATTGCAACGGCCGCGTCTTAATTGATAACGAAGGGCATTAAGATTTCGTGTAATGCCCGCAGCGGGGGCGAAGAAAAGGATAGACGGGACGAATAAAGGAGCAAGGAGGAAGAGGATGAAGAGGAGGAGGCGAAGGAGCAGGAGGATCCTCGACGTCGAGAAGCCCAGACTAACGGCCGGTTGCGGAAGGGGAGGTGAAATAATGCCGGGCGCGAGAAGCCGTATTTGCATTAGCTATTCGTTTGACCCTAAAAACTGCCTGAATTGCACCGATGGCTGCTCGTAAAGCCCCGGCAATATCGCGGCGAATCGCGCTCCTCGGGCGTGCTCGAAATCCGAAACTCGGAAGCCGCTGCAGCGGCTCGAGCGAAATTAATGTCGCGACCTGGAGGCGCAGCCCCCCTTCCCGAGTAGCTCGGAAACTCCAGGAAGAAACGTCGGTTATTGCGGACGAGCTTTGCAGCAGCCGGGCAGCGCGACGCGTTCATATTCAGCCCGTGAGAAACGGCGACGATCCTCGCGCATATTTATTTTCCACGTGTCCTAACGTCGCACGCAAACCACACGTGATTACGCTAAGAGAGAACAAATATTCTTTACCGCGATTGATGCGCGAGAGATTTTGCGAACAGCACGAGAAAAAGGAGCTCCTCGTATAATCGAAGACGCCCGCGATAAAATGTTAAAGACGGACGCAGGGCGGAGTCAATAAGTCATAGAGCGAACGGTGAACACGCTCGTACTGTCGCTGCTTGTGAATTAATCAGGAAAAAAGGCGACTCACCGTCACGTGCCGCTACCGGGCGATCGTAGACGTCGCAGGACATCGATCCTTTCGCCGATCGCGTGTCCACCGCCGTCGACGGTTACAACCATGACGAATATAACTCTCGGCGCACAATGTATCGGACTTTATGAGTGCCCACCTAGAAAAGGAAGAAAGAAGCGGCGATGAGGGTTAGCTACGGACAGACGAGAACGAACTTGAGGGAGGGGGCGGAAAGCAATGGGGAGCACTCAGATTTTATTACGTTATTTTGTTAATGCAGCGAGCGGGAAGAAAGGTAGAACGAGAGAGAAAGGTGGCCCACGCGCCTCGAATGTCCGACCACGAAAAATATTATGTCCCTCGGTCAGAAAACGAGCCATGAAATCTTTTTATGCCCTTCGCGTTCTGCGACGCCACCCCCGTAGAATTTCACCTATGCGCCTTCCTCGCCGAGGCGTCACGAGTCGCTTCGAGCAACGCGAAGTAATGGAATACCGTGGCGCATATAAGGACGTCTGACAATCGCCGGTATAATAGGAAACTGGTACAAAGAAAATTTTTCATCTTCTTTTTATTATTTTATTTGGCCGCCACGAGTGTCCCTTTAACGACAGGAACAATAGGAAGAAAATATTAAAAATTTGTAAAACTTGAATTGCAAAATCGAATAGAAATTGCATAAATATAATTTTCATAGTCAAGGAATCAATTTTTTTACGCGACATTATTTTTATATTTAGTTATTAAAATTAAAACTCGGTCTTTTCCCATCAGATATGACGCTTTAATTCTACACGTGAGGTAACTTTGCCCCGAACATTTCTCTTGGGCAATCGCGCTATCAAAATGCACGGTTCCTTTTTTTAAGCAGCAGCAGCGGCGGCAGCGGCGACGGCGGGCCACGTACAAACAAGGTTAATAAAGAAAGCGCGGCACAGCGCCGACAATAAGATACTGATAAGCGGAAAACATGTTACGGCACGGTATAAATAGAAACCGCTACCGGCAAAAGAAGCCGTAAGCAGTTGCCGCACGTACGCAATTTTTGCCGCAGCGACAATGCTTTTCCGCGACTCGTGGACTTTTTGCTTGAACGTCGCGTCCACACACGGGGATTTAAAAGCTCCCGTCCAACGATAACGTCAGGATTTAATGTCGCATTTCCGGCGCCGTAAGAAGAAAACGGTATCGCGCGTAAATTTCACTAACAACGCTAAACGCTACGCTAGCGTCAGCATCGGCTTCGATTAACTTCAGATCGAAGTTAAGATTTTAACTTAAAATGGCCCGAGGGTCATCGCGTTTCTCGATAAGGGCGTGAAAGACGACGTACGTCTTGTCAATAAATGCGCCCGGTGGTATTTCAACAGCGGCAATAATTTTCGTCGCGTCATAAATCAACGCGCGGGTACGATGTACGAAGGACGCACCCCTCGGAAATCTTTTCGCACGGAGTGTCGGATGAGTCTCCGGGATGTGACACCACCCCGTTCCCCACACGTTTCTAATAACACTTCTAATCAAATCATTCCCAGCGTTTTCAAGACCGCTGGAAAAGATGCTTCATATTTATTGTTATACTTAACATATATAATAATATTATTAACATTTACGTTACGCAATTTATTAAATATATTAAATATATTATTCATTAATTAATAATATATAATATAGTTAATACAGATAATAAATTGCGTAATGTAAACAATTCTGTTATATCACGCAATTAACTGTAAGGCAATTACTGTAGAACGTGAAGCGCTTAAAACGCAAATAAGTTATAACTTGGGAATATAAGTGAAATCATAATGTGCTGTGGGGAGACTCTAGTTTGTCTAGCATTCCTGAAGGTGTACGTGTCATATCGATTCCACAGGGGGTATGTATAACGACGGTAGCCTCAGTAAATTCCTTGCATGAGTCACCGGGAGTACCACTACGTCTCCTACTCCGCTTAGAGTCAGATAATAATCACGCGATCACATAAACCGTGAACGTACTTGTATATTTTTTAACAGTACTTTATGCATTTCCGCATAAAACTCGTGATACACGTCGAACGAATGCTTTCCGCCGGAAAGCACGCGTCGTTGTTGAATTCGTAATAAAACTCTGTACGAAGAAGCGAATGGAGATACATCGTTCACTTTGACATATCAGATAACTCTTTAAATGAAACAAACGGCCGATGTAATCCATCATATCGTAATCCAATTTCTCGAGTAATCCGCGTGAAGCTGCATTAATGAGAAATTAAAGGGTCTACCTAATCCCGATAGAACGAAGTAAATTCGACGCGGTGATCGCGAATTTCAAGCGACGTCATACTATTAAATTTACATGAATCGCCAGTCGATGCGATTCGCCGCGCCCGTCGAAATGCGACGGCAAATCCGTCACGAACTACCATCAACCCTCCGATGGTCGCCGCTCGCGTTAGCATCTTATGCCAACAAAATGTCAAATTAGAGGAGCGTTTACGTGTCGCGTCCCGGCTAATGGTTTCCCGACGAGCACGAAATAAAACGTCGCGCGAGATAATTCGACAGCCGTGAACGCACGTGGCCGCATCGTTAAGAAACACGTCATGTATACCTGCGACGGGAGAGTCGAGCGAAGCGGTTTACATGCCTACCCTTGCATTTACATACCGCGGTGATAGCCTCGATGCGCAACGACATCGTATACACGGGAAAAGACGATACATCATAATTCCGAGTTGAAGATCGAATCAATCACTTTGCCCGCGCGCGTGTACATGTGTGCAAAATAACGTAACACACATGTATGCCCGCGTACTTTGTCGAATATGTGTAATCTTGCATAAAGGAAAGCAGTGAAAGTAAATGATACAGTAATAATTCATACCGAAGGCAGATTAATGTATCATGTCATTGCCATTACTGCGCGATAAAATTTTTTACAATACCGTACATATCCGTACGAATTAAACGATCGCGAAAGCAAATTATAAGTTTCCACGAAAATTTCGGGAAAATAGGATGCGCACGTGTGGAATATATTCCCTTGAAAATAATATCGGTGAGCCGATAAAGCATAACGAGGCATACCCTAATCGCGGCTCCCCTTTCAATTTTTCAATCCCCGTTTTACGTTTCGCGACGCGTTTTCCACCCGACAGCGCACGGAAAAAATCCACAAAGCGAGCTTGAAATTGCCTTGACGGAAGTGAGTCATATACGTGCGCAAAGCATTTCGTATTTTCTGTACTCACGTATAAAATACATTAGACAGATAAAATAAATGTGTGCATGTGTGACGCAATGGATATTAAATTCATAATAGTAATTATTACCATGTGAGGAAAGAAATTTTATTTTTAAAATAAGTGGTGACAAAATATATTCTTGTAATATTTTACGTACAAAAAGGAGGGATAAATAGGGAAACATAATATTCAATGTATCACAGAGTATTAAAGTAGAAAATTTTTAGTATACTCAGCTCTACACACGTTTAATAACCCAATTTCAAAATAACTCCGCATGATGTGGCTGGATTAAATGTAAATAAATTATTGAGTGGAGCATGTTTCTGCGATGCCGCCTTGATAATTTCTTGAGCCATTACGCCACCGACGATAGAGCAAACTGGACTGAGTTGCGCATACAAATCGCTTCTGCGGTCACAAAAATATTGTTATAGATATAAATTTTTTGGTTGATTGATTTACATGCCAAATGTATCATACATACTCCACTAGGTGGTCTATCTTGTCCCCCAACTCATATTTTTTAATAATTACAGAAGCTTCATTTTTCAGGTTCTCACAACCTCTTTCACTAGGCATTGGGTCTTCGCCATATTTTTCGCGGTAATTCAGCAGTACTAGAAAAAAAAGTTACTACCTAGAATATCCTCTAGTGTGAATTCTTACTTTAAAATGTTCTTACTTTACATACTTAGCATCATATAGTAGATTTCTTCCTCCCTAACTAAAGACGTTTTTGGAGCATTTAGAATAAACTCAAACGGTACAAAATTATCCGTGCGCTTTTCATTAACTATCATGGTTTCAATCTTTTCTTTGCCCACGGGTTCGCCACTTTCTTTCAGTATTATCACTTTCTTTGTTTTCGGCACATCCCTGGAAGATTTCCCACGATTCATTTATGACAGATCCGTTCTTAATAGAGACCAGTCCCCTATTATGAGGTAGATCCTCCTAATGTGAGATAGCAGAGTTTCTACTAAATTAATTGGCATCATCAGTTGGTTTCACCATGAATTTATTGCTCTTGGAGTGAAATCTATTTAGTGGCAAATTGATTCTTAGATCGTGTAATCATTACGAAAAAAAAAGTTGTGATTGAATTTGGACGTTGGAAACCTACTATCTCATATTGAGTTCTATCTCATAATAGAGAACTTTTCTCTACGTTCATCAAATTCATAAATAAATATATACGCACTCTACATATTCGTGTTCCTGCAAGTCTATGAATACATAACCAATTGCGCCCCACACATCCCCGGCAAAGAATTTGACCTTTTGATTTCTGCACGCTCTATTGACTCTTTTCAGCTGTGTGATAGTACAGTGCATGGCACACACCACATCAAACTGCCCAAAATATTCGTCAGGCTTATCGTCAACCTTGCCCGAGTCTGCGCTAATATTAACCATGGGATTCAGGTTCTGCGCTCGCAGCAATGACGCTTCAGCTTTCTGTAAGTATATAATTATTTCAGTGCACGATTACTTGCGCAACGAGATAATACGCAATCTGCCATTTAACATTTACATTCTTTCCAATATCTTCTTTAGGTATAAAGAACTGCGAGCATCTGTCTAGCTCAGTTACACTTCTATGGTCCAAAAACGTAACACTCTTAACTCCAGCTAGAATAACATTCTTAGCAATTTCCGCCCCGAAGCCATCCAGTCCTATCAAGAGAACTTTCGCAGCTCGCAATCTGTGACCAGTATAGAGAACAGTCAAGAAAACAATGGTGTTTCAACTAACAAAAGTTCTGCACAAACTACGCCAAAATAATTCTGTAGATGTACATTATGAAGTATACATGTATGTAAAGCATGCATGCAACTAGGAAATAGCGAAGAAAGACAAACCACGTCTATTCCAAGAATCTTTTTATAGCCGTATCACTTGTATCGTATTCGTAATTCGCAATTTCGTAAAACGCCGGTATCTTTAAGAGTCAGGTTATGTACGAGATTTACCGTTTTTGCGAGTCCAAGCCCCACAGACGAAGTTGCCGGTCATACAACTCGGCTTCGTGATCCGTCAGCTCTTCCGTCTGCTTGTGGTCCAGCATCGTTCAGAAGTCGTTTATATTTATCACTGCAAAATACTCAATCTCCGCAAAGAACGCGGCATGTAATCAATATGGCGCCCAAACTCGCCTGTGCCGCCTGTGCGGCGTGCACTTACACCATTGGGTCTGTTCTTTATAGCTGTCACGGCCTGGTGTTCCTGTAGAGAACCTCTAATCAGAGTCTGGCCAACAGAGTTGTCCGCCATGTTTAGTCAAGAGTGATCCTCGAACGCGATACGTCCTCTGTGGACATCGAAAACGTGGACATAAACTACGTAGCCAATGGCCACGTTTGGACTAAGCGAATAACACAGATATGCACGTTTTGATTGTGTTCCGTGCTACGTGCATGAAATGTTATTGATTTTTCGTTATGTGAGCAAACAGACCAACTTGTAGAGACCTTCCACCACCTCCGCCGAATTTTTCTCAGCGGTCTTCTTTACTTTGCAATAATTATTTTTACATTTTTATCATTTATTATTTTAAACATGTAATATTAATAATATGTAATATTATTAATCTATAAATTTACCCTTGTAATTTTATTTTTCGTTTGCACATTAATAAAAAATGTTATACAATAGGCACAGCCACATGTGTAGCACCGTGTAACATTTTCTATTAATACTTTACATTGTAAGAGTTATGTATGTATTATTGTAAGCATATCACATGTTCATATGCAATTTTATATCATATTGTACATATTTTTATTACACATATATTATGGGTGCTTTCCAGCAAGAGACACAGATTGATACAGCATAATACAGAGAATTATTTTATTCATATTTAATAATGGCAAACAATAAAGATAAAGCGATTCACTGTATTACACAGTGTCGCCTGTGTATGTTGCTGGAAAGCACCCTATGATTTTAGTTTCGCTATGTAACTTTCCTCTCTTTTTATATTTTTATATATATTTCAAAATAAATTGTGAAAAAATCAAATTATAAAATATAAAAACACAATTTTATTGCAAACAAAAGAGGACCGCCGATAAGAATTTAGCGGGAGTGGTGGAGGGCCTCTACAAATTAGTCTGTCTTTATCGCATAAAAATTTAATTCAAATCTAAAAGACAGGCATCATTTCATTTATAACCAGAAAAATGCACACGGCACGAGTCAATATAATAAAATATATAGACAACCAAGTTTATCGAGAACAATGTATTACAAATTTTATCGGTAAAAAGAGTACCTGCAAATGTGGTGGTAAACAAATTTTTATATTTAGCACTTATACGTAGAATTTATATTTCAGCATTTTACTTTTTATTCCACTGCCGTATATACGTTTCATGATGAGGGCATACGTACTCAATGTAGACATCTGCGGGATGCCAAACGAAGAAGATTGGTTTTTGGCTCGTGTCGCTGCGTTGATTTTTCGCCGAGTTATAGCGTTTTAAAAATCGGGCGCGCGCGCACCATTCATGAATGAAGGCCGCGCGAATTTTACGCGAGTAGTACGCGGGCGTACTACGTCTCCAAAAAACTGGCATAAAAACATACGAGACACACGTGTTCGACAGTAAACACCGCCGCGCCAGGCACCGCGCGAGACGCCGCATATACATACGCGTCGTCTGCTGCTGCTGCTGTCTCGGGATTAAGATCGCGAGTCGATATAATCGCCCATATCTTCGCACAGAAAAATGGTAAGAAGATGATCCTGGTCTCACTGGAAAGCTAAGATTTCAGCGCTTCTAACGAGATAAAAATCACTTATCTCGTATAATTAGTTTACGAGATTTCATTAATTAATTACAAAAATAAATTTGATTTTGTCCCGAGATCGAGATCACGAGTCGATATAATCGTCCATATCTTCGCACAGAAAAATCGTAGCAAGATGATCTTGGTCTCGTTGGAAAGCTAAGATTTCAGCGCTTCTAACGAGATAAGAATCGCTTATCTCGGATCATTAGTTTATGAGGCATTATTAATCAATTTCGAGAAAATTGATTTTGTCCCAAGATATTGTTGATTAATTCCGAAAATAAAATTGATTTTGTTTCGAAATGGAAATTGTGAATTAATCTTTCGACTGGAATCGGCGGGGGTGGTAAAGGGCCTCTACAAGGTTAATTTGTTTTAATCGGATAACGTTTTAAATCAAATCTAAAAGACGCATTATTTCATTTATAAAAATGCATTCTTTATTTTTACAAGAATGCGATCGTAATGATTATCCGATGCAAATAGAGCAATCTTGTACAAAAGAAAATGTTTAAATAATTTTGGCTAACTTTTAAATTAATAAATATTTAATTAATATTATCTGGGTCGCTCACAAAAAACTTTAATCACACTTCATAATTCTTCATGCAAAATACAACCGATTCTATATAAAAATTTTGTTTAATTGTTCTATTCCTCGGCTAAATGACGTCTAATTGTAAGACGTTTTTAAGTCGTCCTTTAGACATCCGTGTTGTTTCGGTAGTTACAAATAAACGAATGACTCACAAATCTTTTAAATTACACTTTAAACATTTTCATACGGAATACAAATGATTGCATATAGTAGTTATTTAAAAATACGTTTCTTTCCGGTTGTGTGAGCGAATAGTTGATTGGCTACACATTTCTCAGAACAAGAACTTGGGAACTTGGACCGTGACGGGGACTAGCGCCGTGAACACAGGCCTTAAGGCGAGCGCTCACGGGTCGTCGAAGGGGGCGCGCGGAATTTCGCACGGTATCGGAAAACGGCCAAGGGAACAGTGACGATAGAGGACCGGGCGGGAGTCGAACGGCACGCGTGACAGAACGAGACTAGAGACTCTCTAATCAGAGTCTGGCGATAAGGAAGCACGCTATGATTTTCATCTTAAATATGCTATTTTAAAGATATCACCGTTTTTATTGTTTTATGCAATGTTAAATATATTGTTTTAGCAAATTTATTTTAATTTATTTACTTTGTATTGTTTCATTAATATAGATAAAATTAGTAACTTTAGTTGTTCAATACAAAGCAATAGATTAGATTGGATTAATGTAGATGATAATGTAATACTCTAGTGCATTCTTATAGACTCGCCAATCAGATCCACTTTCCATAAAGCCGATCTTAATGTGTTTTCTGAACGCAATCATCAGTTATGATGAAGAGATAGAGAGAGGGAAAGAGAAAAAGAGGAGGATGGGCGGTGAAGGCAAGGGGGATAGGGCGTTAAAATATTGTTGATAGTAGATAGTGTGTTCACAAAATTACCAGAAAGACGTGAGAAAAAAACGGTAGCTATTTTAAATTAACATAAAATATCTATATTTAAAAGAATCGTGTCAAATCACATCATCTGTCCGATGATCGTGCGAGAAATCCCTGTGTGTGCAAGGTAACTGAGGTTATGTTCGTTAACAAATTGACAGAAAGTTGATCGAAATACACAATAATTGGATAAAACGTATCAATGTTAGTAGTATAACGAGCGTCATGAGTAAGTACGTGAACTTACACCCGTTAACATAGCGTAAATCTACTCTTCTTTATTTTTATAGTATTAATTTGTTTAAAAAAGGGGGAAATGTTTATTAAATGATTAAAAACTGGATAGAAAGAGTCTTGAAAGAGACAAAATGTATAAATGTAAAAATAATAAATTAACCGAAGCCAATAGAGCATTCAGCATACCGTCGACAACATTGTGACAGTATCTGAAAAGTAAAATATCTAAACTCTCTAGAGTCACTCTCTTCGTCTTTTGTTATCTAAACTCTATTTTTGGGTTGTCCCTTTAAATTAATCTTACTTTAAACAAGGATATAAGAGCCCAGAGAGAATGTTAGTGTCTAAATGATTTTAATTTCTAAATTTATTGCGAAAAATTTACCTCAGCCAGGGTTTAAACTTGGACCTCTCTCTTACTAAGGCGCAATCTTACTTAATTTTTTTGGTTTTCTGCAAAGACTATTCCTTTTTTCCTGACAGACAAATTATAATGGAGCATCTTATCCAAGACGTTTGTGGAAATATTCTTTCAATTATTGTAGGATATATAGTTTATAACTTTCTCAAATTTTTTTAATTTTCTTCCTTTATTACATATGTAAGAAATCTATTTAAAGAAGTAATTCTGATTCGACTATAAATTTTGACATATTATTATTTCAATAAATTATAGGTATTTGTCTGAATTAATCTACGGAGTAAACTAAATCAGTGGCATGAGCTTGTTTACTGTGCGGTGGTCAACATTTTGATGTTTATTATGTTTACACCACAGCTCGTACTAGCGCCCTCGTAAATCGATAAAGCAGAAGCAATCGAATATCTAAACATATAAAAAGAAATTTTGCTCTATTTTATCGTTAAAATTATAATTAAAAATTCGCACTCGACAACGTATGTGTTTGAACTAAAATTGAAAAATAAATTATCCTGATAAAAAAAACTGTCATTTCGAATAGCAAAAGTACGCGATGCTTACGTTCTGCTGATATTTAAAAAATTTTCTAACATGACAAGCATATTATCACGTTGATTCGATTTAGATAGTATTCGAGGGTACTAGGCAGGCGTTCAAATTTGTAGTGAATTAAAAAATAATTGGCTGCCGCTATCCTTGAAATAAATATAGACAATAAACATAATCGAAAGCTGCTACTGAGAATTATCTTTGCCCTCTTAACCCGAATGTTGTGAAAGCTGACCTTGGCGGGATAAATGTACTTCTTTTCATGTCTTGTAATATCTGTGTACATGTCGATAAGAGCTAATTATGTAGAATTTATTACTCTAATCGCGGTTATTAACCATACGATTGCTTCACTGTACTACTTAGGATGTATCATTTTGCGTATCTACTTCTCATAAATATAAGTTTATTACAAAATTCAGAAATATGACAAATAAAGAAATCAATAAGTAATAAATAAACAAATATTATTAAAGACGAATAAAGCAGAAGATGAATAATACAGAAGAGGAATACGTTGAGAAAACGTTCGTCTACAAGTTTCCAACATGTACCACGGATCAAGAATACACATTGGAAATTCCGTTAAAAATACCGTATCACGGCTCCATAAAAGAGTTGATGCATCGTATAATGTCATCGTTCAAACTACCATGTTACGTGGAATCGGATTTATTGGAAGCCTTGCAACGTAATATCAAGGAGCTTACTCTACAGTTTCATGACGAAAAGGCGGAGAGGCTGATCGAGGCTGCCAAAGCGGGCAGTTTGGATTTAGAAGACATAATTAAGAATTGGGAGAAAATATACAAGCAGAAGACAGTAGAATATTCCGATCCCATTGGGACCACAGATGAGGAATTGTTTGCTGCGGCATATCACAGATTAGTGCATTCTCCGTCTTTAGAACCAATTTTGCAAGCAGAACATAAATTTGGAAGGGATGTGACTGAAGTAATTGAAGAAAGAGATACCTGCTATGAAGCTCTCACGCAAAAGTTAGTTCTTTTTTTATTTCTCTTGTATATATTCAAAAAATATCAATTATGAAAAGTACCAAGTTATATAAGAAATATAAATTTTCCACTTAGAAATCTGACAGTCTGTTTATTTCTCTTATCTATCTTATTTTGATGAAAAGATAAGTAATAGACGAAGGAAATATCAATTTACAGGAAGAATAATTGTACGTTCAAATTTCAGACAAACTAACGAGATGCGCGTTGCCGTTGAGGCCCTCGAAGCAGGATCTACCGAAAAGTCCATAAACGCCATGGCTGGTCGTCACTTCGAGGAGCAAAGCCTAATGCAGGGTTATTGGGGATCCAAAATTGACGCTTTACGATTAGATCAACGACGGCAGTACCGAAATTGGATCATGAGGCTGCTCGAGGAGCAACAGACCAGTATGGTATCCACGCCAATGTAGGTTTTCTTTTTCGCGCTTCGATAATTAGTTTATAGCGAGAAAATTAAAAACTCATCGAGACAAAAGGGAAATGTATTGTGTGTTCTCACGACATAGGGGTTCACCTATGGTGCCGCAGCCGCCGTTGCGTCCGGCTTTAGACAAATTCGTTCATAGCGAGGAGAAGCAAACGACAGATTATCCCCTGTTAGAAGAGAGCTTCACCATACATTTGGGATCACAGATGAAACAAATGCACAACATACGCATACTGACGGGAGACGTACTTGATTTTTGTCGTACGAAAAATAGCGAGTCCGGGTACGTCTAATAATTTTCATCAAAGCATTGTGAATCAATGTTTTAATATCTCTAACAACGTACATTTTTCCCCTTTACCGATTGCACAAATATATTAAAATATATTAAAACATATTAAATTTAGGATGGATCCAACGCCGCAAAGATTGCAAACAGCATTAGGACTCTACTCGAACGATCTCTGTGGATTAGTCCTCCTAAGCGACAATCATTTAGGCAGTTATTCTGGAATAACGAAAGGTACTTTCTACACTCTAATAAATTACGGCAATAATTTTTAAATTATTTTATTACTAATGCATTATACATTTCTTATAAACTTGATTATATACTGTACCATTGCAGAATTATGCTCGATATGTCAATTAACCACGGAATTCCATTTTCTGCCTATCGATGAGCAATTGGAAAAGATTCGGGATGATGTGAAGGACGCGGTTGCCTGGAGGCTTTCGCACTATCGGGAAGGAAGCGATCCTCATGTAGGCATTAGTATGAAAAGTTTAATTTGACAAACGATTGACAATATAGCGACATGCAAGGTATACGTGTTGTTTGCAGGCGAAAAAATCCACGACGAGCAAGAGCCTGCAAACAGGCGATGTTTTTATCACGAGGCATTCTAATCTGGCGCAAGTTCACGTGGTCTTCCACATGGTAGTGAATGATTCCCTGAGATCCGGTAAATAATTGCAGTTATAAATTTTCCGCGTAATACAGAGTTAAATGCACGATATTAATTTTAGGCGATATCAATTCGAGACATCCCGCTATTCTGGGATTGCGAAACATTTTAAAGACGGCGTGTTGCAACGATGTGACGACATTGACAATACCCGTGCTGCTCGTTCACGAAATGTCAGAGGTAACCTATCGCTTGGATAATTCAGGCGGATAATTTTTAGATAATTAGGTGAAAAATACAAATAACGTCTACATCAACGTGCCGCCGTAGGATATGACGGTCGCTTGGTGCACAAAACGGGCCGAGCTAGTCTTCAAGTGCGTGAAAGGCTTCATGATCGAGATGGCCTCTTGGGGTGGAGCCGAGTTGAAAAATCTGCAGTTTCTCGTACCGAAAGTGAGTCCCGCGATAACCGTAATCTGCCGTCGAAATGTAAGAAGGAAAAAGATTACGCTCACGCTGATATCGTTGTTATCGTTTACAGGGAATGTCGGAGGAGGTGTTTGGAACATTAGCCACAATGTTGCCTAGCATATTTCGAGTATCGAATCCGCTAGTTTTCAAGGCCACCAGCACCCCGCAAACTCCGAAAAAGTGAACGACTATTCTTGCCTCTGTTATCGCAGCGTACGTTCGAAACTATATTTATTGCTGCTGTATCGCGCATATGCAGCTACAATTAATCGCAGCGAGTGCGAAAAAAGATATAGCTCTGTGAACAAACGTCTGGCTCTTAATGAGTTTTTTGTTTATGTTACTTTCACACGATTGATTTCTCACCGAGTTGGGCCGATATTCGCAATGTTAAAAAACTTTTCCACCACATATCCTGAGATTTATTCAATGTTGCAATTTCTCTGTTTTTAATGTTGATAAATAAAATATTAACACGCAGTTTACACTTTATCTCTTCACCTGAATTAATTTCTCAAGACTGCAATATTAACCTAATAATTAATTATGTCTAAACGTGAAACTTAATAATAATGCATACTTTTATTATCACAAATTTTTATCTTCATAATTGTGACGCTCTAAAAATAATATTTATGCATAGATTAATTTATAATCAGCTTTTAATCTTTAAAGAATAACATCTAATCTTTAAGATTATACAGCTTTGAAAATAACGCATAATTTTACACCGATAATTGCGACGTTAATTGCGATGAGATGCATGAGCAACATTATCGCCGTTAGGCGCGCGGCAACGGAGAGCGAGGTTTATCGCTCTTAGCCTGTATTTTTATTCTCCGAAGCATGGCAGGGTAGATATGTTAACGTTTGTCGGGCGTGAGTCTCATCGCGAGCGGTAACGTTAACTCGTCACATTCTAACGCTCCATAAATCTCACGAGCGCGGAGATATCGACGTTCAATAATTGAAAAAATATGCGCGATTAATTGTGGCGGAAAAAAACAATCGCTAACCGAGGACCGGGACGAATTTACGGTGAGCGCGACTCGCGTAATCGCCGGTTTATCGGAGAGAGCGGTGCGTTAGCCTCGGCGATTCTGAACTTCTGACCGGGGACGGATTAAATTAACGCTGCGACTGTCGCGCGGCGCCGACTGCTTCACTTTATTTAAAAAAAAAATACATTTGTCAGTATACGTGAATTCGATCATGTTCAAACCTTTATATTGATTTATAGCTACCAACGAATCACAGGTAAATGTAGCTAGATGTAACTTGAGCCACGTCAACTGAATTACATACTCGTGGAATTTCGTTATCGAGTTGTACTGGAATGCAAAGTGAAAACATCTCTATCGATATTTTATTAATGTGATGCTACAATTTCCAGATCAGATAGCGAGGAAAATTCACGTCGGAAAAGTGGAAAATCGCCGTTTCGGAGCAACGCGAATTAGCCAGAGGCGTGTGTGTTGCCGATCAAAGTGCTTAACAATGCAATTAGCTCTTCTACCCCCCTCTTAATTCGGCACTGCAATCTGAGAGTGCCGCGGATGAATTCGTTGCCATTCCATCGGATCGCGGTGCGGGAAGCATAGTTCGCGCTACGTGGTCCTGGTGCGATCAGTCGATCGGTAATCGATCGGGTGCATCGGGAGATCGGATCGCTCTAAAAATCGCCTAGTCTAGATAACCGTCACCTGGCACGATGTGGTTCGGATCGTACACGTTTCTCGTCATCGTTGTTTCGCTCGTCTCGGCGAAAGCGGTGGGTTGATTTTTAATTTCGCGGTAGTAACGAAATTCTTTCGGGATTTTGAATTAGATGAGTGGTTCGTGAGCGAACGTTTCACAATTTTCCGGGACGTCCGACGATACTTCTGTCATTTGTGTCACGAATATCAGTTTCCGGTCAAGTATCATCAGTTTATCGCTTTCTTAAATTTCGTCCTTTTCTCGCGGGAACAATTATCTTCTCGCGATGTAAACTCGCATTCTAAAATTATATTTCGTGAAAGTCTCTACCGTTTCTTATTTTCGACATAAACATGTGTGCGAAACTTTATTAAACTAACGAGATGTTGATTTCAATATTGTTTCAAGTCCCGTTTTGAACGCTCGCGTGTTCGGGTAAATAAAAGGGGGTTTGCGTTGCAGATCGACCTCTCATTTCGGAAACTGAAGAAGGAGGATTTCTTCGTGAGAGTGCAGACGCTGATCAATCTGCGGGAAGTGACAGACCTCAATCTGAGGGGGAACGAATTCGACAGTTTTCTGGACTGCTCTACCAATCTGGAGACGCTGAGAACGCTGGACCTGTCTCAGAATCACCTTCAGCGATTTTTCTTCCTGTGCAAGGAGGAATACAATCTGCAAGCGCTAAACGTGAGCCACAATAAACTGGAATACATCGACGATAATGCTCTCAACGACCGGATACCGAAACTGAAGATACTAGATCTTTCCTTCAACAAGCTCACTGTCGTCAACGAGACCATGTTGCAACACCTAACGGTAACTTTATGGAAATTTCTAATCTTCTTCTAAGGAAACCTTTTGGAATATTCTCATTATCCGTGAAGAAACCTGTCATTCTCAGCCCAGGGGTCACAATTCTGTATCTTGCAACATAGTGAAAATGCTAAAAATGAGCGGCTTTGTCTCTTTTTTAAGGGGACAGTTAGAAAGAGACGAAACTACTCACTTTTAGCATTTTTACTATAGCGTAAGATACAGAATTGACCGCCGGAAACAGACCCTGTATTTTTACCGCTTCGCACACATTTATTTCTACAAGATAAATCACACAATTCGGGAAATTTTCTTTCAGATTCTCGAGTATTTGTCTTTGTCCTGTAATCCCATAGGGGATGGGATACACGAAGGCGCGTTTTGGACTTTAAGGGCATTGAAACACCTCGACTTGAGAAACGTATCCGCGCCGTACTTTTCGCCGGATTTCTTCAAAACCTTGACGAACTTGTCGACTTTGGACCTATCCTGGAACCCAATCAGCGCGATACCTCTCTTACCGATAAATGTACAGAAGTTGGACTTGTCCGGCACGCAAGTGATAAGCCTCGAAAACTTGTATCTACCGCAGTTACGAGAACTGCGGCTGAACCACATGCCGAACTTGACATCGCTGGCGCTCAACGATCTCGAGAACCTGACCAGCCTAGAGACGTTATCGTTGATCGGTTGCAAACAGCTGACCCAGCTTGGCCTTTGGTCGCAGATCGGCATCGTGCTGCCACGATTGCAGCGCCTTTCGATAAAAGATTGCGCTCTGGAGACCCTGGGTGTCGAGCTACGTCCCTTGATGCAACGGACACCCGTTGTCGAATTGGAGAACAATCCTTGGAAGTGCGACTGCAAGCTCGAATGGATTGGCCTGTTGAATTCGACCAGGAACCTTAGTCGGGACATTAGGTAAGATATCGACGAAGACGTTACTCTCAGCTGGTACGAGTCGCTGCCGATATCGATTAAGAGCACAACAAATTAAAGTTTTGAATATCCGCTTTCCTGAATTTATTTCGCGAGACTTTATTTTTGTAATATTTCTTTAAAAAAATATCGTAAATGTCTCGTCTACTTGTTGATAAAAATATGTTGTAAAATTATATGGCGGCAATACTCGTGGTCACGCACTGTTCGTCAAGCTTCGGCTTTATCTCTTTAGATGTCTCGAGAATTTCCACGTCAAGAGAAATTCCTATTATCACGAGAACATTTTGTTAATGATAAATTCGATCCTTTTATAACGATATATTATCAAGTCCCTTATCTCAAGGTGATGGAAAAAGACGGGAATATTGTAACTGCCGCCGAATTTCTAACTATATTTTATCGCTGAAAAATCCCGCGAATATAATCGAGCACTTTGTTAAACTTGTATGACAGATGCCTCGCGCCGGACCGGCACCATGCCAAGCTCCTGGCTGAAATACCGAGCTACGAGCTGCAATGCGAGTACGACTCGTCGGTCATCTATCCGGTCCTATGGACGGGCCTCTCGATATTGATCGTGGCCGTGATCGTCGCCGCGGTCTTGGTTCTCCTCAAACGGCCAATAAGCCACTGGGGCTTCAAGGGAAGGAACGGGGATACCGTCACGTACAAAAACGTCGTGGAGTCGAACAATGATCTGGTCCGAATATTGGCGGAGTCCGAGACGCACGAGCGCAACGAAGAATGAAGCCAAATTGAAATTGGAAAGAGAAAGAACAACACAGACGAGTGGACGGGAAAATCGTCGGGCTAACAGCAGACGTTTCAGCGAGACTTTTTTTTCGAAAAGCTTTGTTGTAACGGTTACTTTGTAATAACGTAGCGTAATTGCGATAACCACACGCGGAAGTCGTCCCAGAAGATTGCCCTGTTATTTTTTTTCACATTGACGGAATATGTCGGTTCGCAGGATGTAAATAGGAACAAAAGTTGATTTAAGTAAATGATGTGAAAATCAGGTCTTCGGTAGGAAAATGTCTCAAGTATTGTGTAATAATTGCATTATTTAAAAGAAGAAAATTTCACAATGATCGCATTAAGGTGATTCGCCAAAACGCAGCTGTTTTGTTGACTTATTATTTAGAAATGCATTGTGCAAATATTTATCAATATTTGATAAAAGTTCTCCATCTCTGCATACGTTGTTCGAAATATGTAGGTACGCATAATCCACACTGAAAAAAATTTCTGGTTGAATATGGACGAATCAGATAATTCCTTTAGGATTTACCAGAATTCCTTTAGGATTTACCAGAATTTCTGTAGGATTACAGGAATTCTGGTAAATCCTAAAGGAATTATCTGATTCGTCCATATTCAACCAGAAATTTTTTCAGTGCAGCATTCCAAGTTTCATCCAGATTTCGTCACATAATTTGCTAAATATTTTCCTATCGGGGATTCCTTTGAAACATGTAAAATATTTGTAAGGATAAGATTGAAATTATTGAAAATTGCAATCAGTCTCGGAGCTGATTTCTATGCCGATAGAAGACGAATTGTCGCGTAACATATCAAAGTGAATTATGATCGATCTCCCATGCCTCGTGAACTCGAATGATCAACTGTTCGAGTACTCGAAGTGCAATTCCCAGTGTCCGACAATAAAAACTGAAACTTCTGTGGTCGAATAAAACGTCCGTGCCTCCTTTTTTCTGTCGGTAAGAATCGGCACGTTTTGAAAACCCCTTTACCTTTGTTCCACGCGGCGCGTCCGTTGCCGTGGCACAAAAGAAAAGCGGATACAAAGAACGCAATGGCTCATTTGCCCTGAATGACGGCAAGATCCTCTCTTCCGCGTAACGACGCGGCAACGCGTGGCCGTACGCACGAATTATCGTGCGTGGCATCTTGAGAAACGCGCACGCAACTAATTGAAATGCTACGAGATTCCGCCAGAACGGGTTCCGTTGCCGGTAACCTTCCGATTGACGGGCAAAAGGAGCCTTTTTCACAGTCGAAGTCAACCCTGAATGCGAGCCCCGACGTTACCGTCTTCGAAAAATAATAAAAGATATTTCTCGAGTATCGTTCGCTCTAGAAAACAGATTTATTAATAATCGAGGCCTAAAACCTCTCGAGTCTACCGCGAAACGTAAGAAGGAAATTACGCTTTGTGGGCTCACCGATGGCCCATATAACCCGTACGGTACATCAAAGAGAAATATTCTTAATCACGCTCGCGGTCTACGTTAATGCTTATTTCAACGTAACGATCCGTTGTTGCGTCACAATGACGACGATCCCGCTCACGTCCCGTCAGATCTTTCCAGTATGCACTGGCCGATATACCGGTCGTTGATGAAACGTTAAAGTGTAGGGCGTAACGCGTTCCGTTCCAAGAAGGGGCGCAATATTGGCGTGTTATGCGATGAGCCAGCAAATGGTGCTATGAAGATCGTCAGTTTACGTGACGTGTACCGTGATCGCGTGCGATGTAGCGATCAGCCTTTGTATCGAAGTATGATCTTCCTATGGGAGAACCTATTGGGTTACGCCCGAGCAGAAAGAGAGAGCCCCCCCCCCACGGGCGAGGATGTCGTATTACCGGGGGAGTCACAACACGCAAAGAGAGGAGTGCAAGAAATCACTGAGGAGGAGATGCGCCGCGCCTCCCGTCGAACGGAAGCCCGCGATTACAATAACTCTCCACGTTGGGTTTACACGCCCGTAAGTATGCGCTTCTCCACTTAATTCTACAGCGACACGCCTTTTTTCCCGCATACGCGAACCACACGTAGAATCTACCTGTTTGTTCCTGACATCACTTCATCGCTATAAATTTATTTGTTTCCCTTTATACTTTCTTTTTATTGTTCAATTATCTTTTTATTATCTTGTCGTTGCGAAGGAATTTGCGTAACTGCCCGGATAGGAAGTTTCGTTGCTTTTTAAAAGACATAACACGATTTTGAATTGTACCAAAATTCCCGTAAAAGTTTCAATTAAAAAAAATGTTTCTTTATACGCAGCGGTTTGCACCACTATTTCACGTATTAGCTCGGTTTATCTGAAAAATCACATTTGTCTCGGACTTAATTCAGTCTCTATTAACGAGAAAAACATCGCTGCTCTCCGAACACGTACGGTATATCTTTTTATACACCGGAACATCAATTTGAACTGGCGAGAACTCCGCACCATTTTCCAGCCGGAGTGCGAGTAAAGCGATTGAACATTGCGGAATATTTTTTCCACCGTACCGTACCGGAGAGCGGGCATGGACCACGGGGAACGAGGGGTAGATTTCGATGCCGGGAGGGGGAGGAGGAATGAACGAACGATAGAGGTTCTACGCTCCTCACGGTGTCGAATGTCCGTAATTCGAGATTCCGTGCAAGCCAATTTGGCGAGAGCCGGTGGAAAAATAATACACCGCCTACCAGCACACGAGACAGATCGCGAGAGCGTGCGGAGGCGAATTTTAACGGTCAATGCGAAACACGTGGGCAGACCATGTCGGGGAATATCGTGTTTCGGGCCCGCGGAGAAGATTCTATCCCCGGGTCTTAAGACGCCCGGATAACCGCTGCAGTGGCGTCTTGTTGGAAAAACAGCGTGGGCGATATTGCTCGTGCCCGATGACGGCCCGGGGATACTCGCTCCCGAGTATTTAGCCAAGCGATATATATCGACACCTAGGGACAACCAATATCCCTCTGCGCTTGAGAACCAAACGGATTTGTATAAGCATTTTGTCGAGTAGATCCAGCACCAACAGACCGTGTCAAATTCAATTTTTACCTCGCTCAAATTGTAACAGATATCGCGAACTACATTCAGAGGAAAGTCCCCTATTATGAGATAGGCTCCTAATACGATACAGCGGAGTTTCCGCTAAATTAATAGGCATCGTCTGTTGGTTCCATCATGAATTTATTGCCCCTGGAGTGAAATCTGTTTAGTGGAAAATTGGTTGTTGGATCGTGTAATCGTTGCGAAAAAAAATTTGTGATTGCATTTGGACGTTGGAAGCCTATTATCGCACACATAAGAATCCTATCTCATAACAGGGGACTTTCCTCTATTTAATAAAATATTAATGTTTTAATATATGAAAAATATGTCTCATGCATGAAGCATGCTTCTAATTTAATCACCATTTATCAAGGCGCTCCGCACGCCGTACCGATGTAAGCGTGGTGCACGCATGTGGTTTTACCCTTTTTTAATATATATATATATACGTACACGTGAACGTAAGTTTTTCTGAACAACAGGAAAATTTCCCGAGACATGCACTTCGTTAATCAAGCGCGGCCGACTTGGCGCTCGGCGAAACATATTTTTGTAACAGCCCTCTACATTACGATTCGTTAAGCCAGCGTCTGCATTAACTAAGCTAATCCCTTAATTACGTTCCTCTTATTTCTCCTCGCTTCTTCTCTCCCGCCCTTCCGGCGGCGACTCTCACGCTTCCTACATCATCCTTCACTCGGTAATTAAAGAATTTGATGAAGTCCCGCGGCGTGTATACGCGGAAAAAAACCACGGGCTGCGAGCGTACACCCGTAAACAGGTAACTTTCGCACGCGTTATACCGCATGATATACAGCAACAATTACTTTCAAGTCCCCGCATAAATATCGCGCTTAATATCACACCGAATCAATTAACGTAATCAACGAATAATTATCGATCGCGAGAAAGAGCTTTATTTCGCACGTTCGATAATAGGATATTATACGATGCAGTAGACATGCGGGATGATTTTGATTACATAGAATTTAATGAGAAATTTTCAATTTATGCGCCAACCGCATCTCGCAACAGCGTTGTCGCCAAATAATTGACGCGACCCTCTTCAGCGACTCATCGACGATGCCTGACGACACGCGTGACAGGGTCTTACCATATCAATATACGTAACGGACATCTGTCTTCGTTACACGTTAAACCGTATTGCACTTACGGCCCGTGTCCAAACGCACGTTTTGCGCGTCGCGTCGACCGAAAACGGCCGCCGCATGCCGCGGAGCGCCCGCCGATTTTCGCCGGCAGGGTTTTATCTGATTAAACCGACGTAGAAACATGGGGTTATACGTGTAAGCTCTCCGGGCCCGTCTATGGGGAGAGGCCGAACAAATGAATAATGAAAATAAAACCCTGGTGATGCTATCGGTAAGCACCACGGGATTACGTACGCATCAGCGCGCCCGCGATGAACTTATATTATGGAACCCCCCATATACGAGCTGCACACTACACACGCGTTAATGCGCGCGTGTTAGTGCGTGAATGAGCGAGCGAGTGCGTGCGGACAGCTAAAGAAAAGCAGAAGGCTTTTCGCACGTAAGAGTTCGACAAGTTTCTCGCGGGATGAGGATTTAAATAGTAAATCAGGACCTCTCGTTACCCCACCCGTTACACATTTACATATAACGCAACGATTTGTTACTAAAAGGGAAACTTCATTTTTTATTTATAAATATATATATATAAGAAGAGCGAGAGACTTTGTTCGCGCACCGCGTGTCAAAGTTACTCGGTGAAATAATTGGTTTGAAGTTTCTAAGCTCTAACGCCTGATGAAACTATTCACTCAAAAAATATCTTACTAACACAGGTAGATTCCTACACGGATTTTCTTTTAAAATTTACCCTGAAAATTATGTAATCGTGGGACAACGTGGCATTTTAAACAACTTTATGTTTATTATTTATCGCACGAGAGCGTGCGACACGGAGAGTGAGATAGGGAGATGGGGGTGGAAGGGGGCCACGGGCCTCGCGAGCGTTCGCTCTATATCAGTCAGTCGTATTTGAGAATAAATACGTATAGCACCGAACTGTTGTGTCTCCTTTATTTCGTATGGCTCAACTTTATAAGAGTTTTTTGAAATTTGACCATTCTGGAAAGTTTAGGTTCCATGGCCAAATATTTATCATTCACATTGGATAAAAATAAATTTCGGCACCGTAGCTAGAACAATCTTTGTAAGGAATCTAACTGTCTATGTGTCACAATCAAACGTTATAATGGATGGGCGCCACAGAAAGACTTTTCTTCCTAACATTCGCTAACACTCTTACGAAAAAGTAACGAAACAATTACTAGAAAATTACTGTATATCAGTAATTACATCATTAGAAATTACTAGAAAATTACTGTATATCAGTAATTGAATCATTAGAAATTTCGCTTTTCCGTAATGGCAGTTTAGATAGAAAGTCTGTTTCTGTTATTTAAATTGAAATACAAACCATATGCGATTTCGCAATATTGGCTATTCATTTATATATCATAGTTATTTTTTCGTACCTAGAAAATGTTTGCTGCAGTTGCGAGATCGTTTTTTTCAGTGTTACTAATCCTATTCACTGTATTTATTTCCGTTGTCTTGTCATATTAACAAGGTAAAATAAGATGTGACGGATAGTGAGAAACAAGGTGAAATATGACAATGATCTAGGCTCGTAGGGCACTCGTTCCCGTGGTGTGTATAGGTATTTTGAATGGTCGTCGGATGAAAGAAAGGCTGTACTGTGGGGTGTAAGTGTCACGGCCGTAATAGTTGCCAAATGTGCTCGTCGGGACACACCGATTATGCCAAGGTGTGAACTTACAAGCGTAGCCAATAGCCGATCGTGGACACAAAGGAGGAGCCCCAAGACCAAGCCGCTTACGATCAATACCTCGATCTTTCGATCTCGTCCCGTGCGACTGAACGTCCATCCGCCGCAGCACAATAGTGAATGGACGAAATACGCTCGTCGAGTGTAAAAATACTGACCGGCTACTTTCCTAACTTCTGAAACGGGCTAAAGATCTAAACGTGACTGTATAATTCATGAACCAAGACGTTGGATTAACAAATACCCATGTCCTCTCTTATAAATTCTTTCGATTCTTAACATTTCGCCTCTGGAGCTCTCAGGCAAATGAAAAATTGCATTCGGGAGAAAAATTGTATCAAATTGTTCCCCCGAAAAGCGAAAATCTACGGAGATTGTGTTTATGACACAAGATACCACCTTGAGAACAGTCAGTTAAAAAAATAGTTTAGTTTAGAGAAAATTAAAATTTCGTTATCTTGAACTTCAGAATGAGAACGTAAATAATATGATCTTTGCCTATTTCATAAGCAAACGAAGAAAATGCGGAGGACTGTTCGCTAATCCTGGAATTCGGCGTTAGTCACGTCCGTTTCTTTTCACTTTTACAAGGGTCCCAAAACCACGAGGATCCCTAATTACGACTCAAATATCGTTACAGGAAAAAGTCTACAGAATATCCTTCCCATCTCATAATTTACTATTTTTTTTTGTCTCTTGTCCAAATTCTCAGCCTGGGACGCAACGGACCTATCCTTGCGCAGGTTTTACACAAACCGCACATGTTAAAGGATCGTTTGGTGAAATCGAGAGGTATCTTTTTCAATCTTTTGTATACCGCAGTTAAAATAGCAGAATAATATTTCACGGTAATTTCGTGGTAACTTTCATTTTTCCTGTTTTCCCAGATATAATGAATTGTCGTTGAAAAGTAAGAAAACAAAACGATCGTATACACTATTCAGCGTTTCAAAATCTCGAAGAGAGACTTCGGTAGATCGTGAAATTTTGGAGAAAATTTTAATAGTTTTAAAACCGGAGAAAGACATTTTACGAGCTATACATCCGGTGAGAATCGTTTCGCGAGTCGGAATCCGGGCAGTGGCGGGCAAATTTCCGTGGGATCAGCGCCTTCCCACCTACGAGGGTGAAAAAAGGACATCCTACAGTGCTCGAAAGTGACAACGACGCGTTTTAAAAGGCCACCCATTCGCTAAGATGTAACATAACAAACAGCCCGGAGGAAACGTATTTGCCCCGCGGGCGATATCGAGTTCCCGGCCACTTCCTGCGCTTCTTCATCATCGTTTTCTTCTTCGTGGCGCCGTTGCAGTCGGCGGCTTGACGTCCCACAGATTGACGAGCGCCACCCCCGAAGACAGCAGGAATAGAACGGTCACGGAGTGCATTTAGTCGCGAGCGTGACTTTTTTTTTTTGCGCCGTCCCGCACAGATAGCGGCACGAAAATACATCGCGCGCGACAATAGACTTCATTCACGGGAAACGTGGGGGGTTCGTAGTCCCACAATTCACACGTCACAAGTGTCAAATTAAAAATATTTATCATACAGCGCGATCGCGCACAGAATGTTGCAGATGACGTTCCATTTTGTGCGACGATTAATGCGCTTCCAAAAATTACAATATCCAAATTCGTACGGATTCAATCTACTACCGCGACAAGAGAGAGAGAGGGGGGGAGAGGGAGAAACTAAATTATCTATCGTAAAATACCAAACGATACTCCTGCGTCATACCGCGCACCGTAACTCCGAATTCGCATTTATGCCGATTCCCACCGATGATCGCCGCGACGCGATTTCCCCGCTATATATTTTTTTCGTAACAAACTGGGAAGAATTCTCTGCTGCGGGTAAATTCGTTATAAACTCACTACAAAATCATCGATACACCTCACGCCTATTTGCCCCGTGATTACGTATCTTATGCACGAACGGGTCGGTTGCCGGACGCAAATTCCCCGCGGACCTCACAAAATCGCCAACGGTTCGTGGAATTATCGCCGCATTACGGTGCATTCTTCCCGTGCATTTCGGGCGAAATTCAACATTACGCACATATGTCGCGGCCGGCGCGCCGTTTTGCTGCGGCGTTTTGGTCGACCGGCTTTGCGCGCGCGAGTACAAAATTACGGCGGAGGCGTCGGCTGTTAAAAGCGCGATATAAATTCGGAATAGCGCGTACGCACGACCCCCGGAAACGGACAACGGAGGGAGGGGGAGGACGGAGAGGGTTACGGAGAGGGCGGCGTTCGTGCGCGTTCATGATTGCGATAATGCCAAACACAATATCCCGGGAAATTTTATCGGCCGTCCGAGCGACGGCATGCGTGGCAAACCGTGCGAAAAATAATAATGAGATGTCGATGGAGAACAAGGGAGAACTGCGGAGCGGGTGGCGCAAAATCGGATAGTAGAGTGAAGAGACAGCCGGGAGAAGGAGGGTAGGTAAAGCGACAGGCAACAGAGATCGAGGGTGTCACGGAAGACGGAAAAAACGAGAGGGGGGGAAACGGGTGGGAAGCGAGAGAAAAATGTGTGCGCGTCAAAAAGAGCGAAGCGCATAGGAAAGCGACAGAGGAAGAATATCAAGGGCGAAGAAACGGAACAAGACAAAGGAGAGGAAGGAAGAGGAAGAGCGGCGGAAAATGTGCGAAACGTTTAATCGACGTGTAGCACAGCCTCTCCCGAGGAATATCCAGCTGAGAGGGAAGCATTGGAAAAGCCTGTCGGCGCGAATCTCTTCTATTTTGAATATAAAGTGGGCGATGAGATTTTTCCCGCCGCGGTAAAAATGTGCGTGGTACGACGAACGCACGGGCGGGCCTTGGCGCGCTCGCGCGCGCGCGGCGGCGGCGGCGGCGGCGGGCAAAAATTTTTTAATAAATTCGCTTTGCGCCAACTATATTTTCTCTGTCAGCTCGTTTAACGTTCTGACGAGCGCGCGCGGCGAAAGATTTTTCCACGGCGGATCGACGCGCAATCGAATTTTTTAAGGGCGCGATGAAAGTTGACGGTGTAATCTCTGTGGCGCTTTCGTCTCGGCGAGTCAAATGAAATTAATCCCATTAGAGAGCTCTCGATGAAACGCTCGCGCGGAAAGCGGTTTCGACATCGACGAGATTAGTCGCTCGATTTTCAGCCGCTTGATTTTTCACACGCGCGCTAACGTCGGCAACTGTTTACGTTATTAAATTACACGAGGATGTCGACACGTGCGTATTAACTACGATCGCGAGGCAAACACCGGCGAAACAAAATCCAGCGTAGTCAGCAGCATTAGCCGCGCTCCCGATACTCACGGTGGTGCCTATAAAGTGCTCCGAAATCACTAGCGGCCGCAACGAGGCACGATATTATCTCCGAGGGGAGAAGACGCAGCCTCCGACTAAGGATACAGCGGAATTAGTGGAACCCTTGTTAACGACCTCATTAACCCACGGTTACGTCTATAGGAAGGGGAGGGGGATGAGGAGGATCGGTCGGGTTATAGAAGCCGAGTCTGGCCCAGAAAAGTAAAACAAACAAATGGCCATGGCGCCATCGCGCAGATGAGTCCCGTCATCCAGCGGGTCCGTCGCCGCCTCCCCCAATCTCTTTCAGTCGGGTTTTTCTGCACCCCCTCCCGCCCCCGGAAACCCTACAATCTTCCTCTTCCTCATCCTCCTTTCGGAACCTTAAATTTCATCCTCGGGACTGCACACCGAGTGGATCCTCTGTAAACACGCGCTCCCCCGCTGGCGCCGGTCGCTGTGCGACGAGCGATCTGCGGCTTTCCGAAAATTGATTTTTCGACTGCTGAATTTCTGGTTGACCGCCGGATCTACGGCAACTTGCCGCCGTACGCCGCCGGCCGGCTCTGTTCCAAGAGACCGTCACCGTACCGCTGGCAGATCGCTGCCGATAAGAGGCAACTTGCGCGAAGGACCGTCGGGAAAATAATAGGACAACTGTTCCGCAGTGTGATGTCCGGGTGCCTCTCGAGGATGCAGCGAGGCGCGACGTGAATGTGTTGAATGTAGCTTCTTCATCTCTAACTAGACAGGTGATTCTGTCTTTAGCGCCGCGTCTCGACGACAATAATTCGTACAAATGAGAATATAAGAAGAAAAAAAAACAGATTGCGTACACACGTAGCAGATTCATGGAATTAGCTAAGCAGCTTCTGGTCGCGCTTTCCTCTTTAATCCGATTGCCACCGCGCGTAGCTTTGCATTCACAAAGTGACAATACGTACATTTAAATTAGACAGCTAGCGTGGTATTACAATTACGAGTGCGTAATAGAAATTTCTATTACAATAATCGACAAGCAGAGTGGCACACGCAGAAATGTATCACGGGGTAGTTGTAAGCGTATTGTACAGTTACATGTCGCGAAAGAGAACCTGTCGACTCGAATAAGGCAAAAAAGGGAGAGAGAGAGAGAGAGGAAGCGAAAAAAAGGAAGAAGAAAGAAGATAACACGACGAAGCATAAAGAGCCCGGCTCGGTCTCGCTCAACTGCAAAACCCAACTGCGACCACCACGAGCCCGTACAATGCGTGATACGTCGCAACGAGGCTGCGGGACAAGAAACTCCCCATTAGACGCACGTTAAATAATAAAGCCCGCCATATTAGGCGCGGGCAACCCGTAGTCCGCGCCGAGCATAGGAGGATTATCCCACAACGATACGTCTCGTTCCTTCCCCCTTCTGCCGGCAACGTTCCCGTTGCAACGGGCCTCCGACGAGCGCTGTGCGAGCTCGATACTCGGATGGCACGAACGAGAGAGAGCTTTACACGCGCGCACCGCGCGTATTATACAATGGCAAGCTTACGTTCGATAAAATCGACCTGCTTGCACCGCCGATTTGCACTCTCGGCGCCAGAGCTCGGCGATTTTTACGACCCGTAAGCCGTTTACCCGCGGAGACCGATAAATAATTCCGCCGCAACCCGTTCGCGTGTTTCGCTCCCGATCACAATATCGGCGGTATCAATTGATAATCGACGTCGCGTATGTACACGTTGTTCGACGAGGAACGTCACGGAGGAATCGACGATTGCGCGCGGAATGATATACTTAAATCCGCGAGCGCGAAACCGGGTTATATAGTATAATAACTCTATCGGCAAATGCCGAGGGAAGCGCCACTTTTCCTAATTGCGTTAGAACAGAAACGGTGGAACACATTTTTTTTCGAGCATAAATCATAAGGATCTTAGATACTAGCGCCAGCAAGAGAAGACAATAGAATCAGAAAACATTTTCAAACATTTAGTAGAATTAACGAGAAAAGTCTCTTCAAAAGAAAGAGAAATGTGCGTACGAACTTACAGGATAGTTGAAAGTCCACCTCCTCGAGGAGCAACGGCAACATCCATAACGGCTAAGCAACCTGAAAATAAAAGATCAGATAAAAAATGGGTAACAATTTAAGATAAAACGGAAATATCGCATAGCTAAATAAGAGCATTAAAATCCAAATTAATACGGCGAATAAGTTGCATAACATACGTGTAAAAGTACAAAGTGGCGAGAGAAAAAAGGACTCGAGCTCAGATAAAAAATGGAGAAAAAAAGAAACGAAAACGTTGAAATAATATAGTTGTGACGGTAAACTAGAGCAAGGATCACTTTATTTCGCACAAGACCGACGCTTGGCGAACATGAATCCATGCCTATACTATTATTATTTTGAAAGATTTCAACTAATGACCCCCGCGCTTTCCACGTCGGACTTGATAAGTTCACGCGGTTTACAAGGTATCCACGCAATTTCCTTGATCCTGCTTATCCGTGAAGCGCGCGAAGCAATTATATATCTCTTTTTAACTTTTGGATAACCCGACACGCAATTACCGCGTCGCTCGCGCGTGCTGCGTAAGGTCGCATGCGGATTGGTTGCGTTACTTAGAGACATTCATCGCTTTCAGGCGGCGAACCGCACTTCTAATCCGCCGGGAGAGTCAAGAATGCGCAGCCTGGCATTCCGTCGCGCAGCCGATGCGGCGTAATCGGTTGGATGACAGCGGCGATAACGTCTACGTACGTGGCGACGATAAGCGCGAAGCCGTGTAAAACGCGGGTTCACGTACACAGACGCGTCACGGGCGCAGGAACAAGGGTTCGCGACCGCCTCTCCTCGGTTTCCCAGTGGCGATTAATCTACCGGCGTGTAACGATTCCCTCTTGACAGTTCTCATCGCGGAAAGTAATAGCCGCCGCCAGATGAGGAATTCAATGGAAGGCACAACCTCGCCCGGTCTCGCCACAATACCCACCCACAGCACCGTCTCTCCTTCTCCCCTTCTCTCTCGCATCCCGTAAGGTCGACAAATGTTTCCGCTTAGAGCCACGACGAACCCCGTGCGCCATGTGAAAATCGGCGCCACGATGCTACGGCGAGGAGGAAAGACGGTCGCGGGTACGGCGATGGAGGAAGGCAGAAGAAACGCGAAAGAAACACGGCGAGAAAGTAAAATGGCTGCCATGCGACGGAATCATTTGTTCTGGGGAGAAGACCTCCGCGGGTCGGGCAAACAAACGACCCCTGCACGCGATAGATCGATCCGCGTAATCGAGGGTGGGATGGATGATGGAGCGGTGTAATACCCGCGGCCTACCTGTCGTTATCGCGACATTTATCTGTGAGCTATTCCGCGCCCGATATTCTATTATATCCCGCGCGAGACCGTAATCCATTATCGACGAGTCCGTATCCCGTAGGCATGTGTACACCACGACCTTCGCTATCTGTCCATTGCGCGTTTATTAATCGCACCGGGCGCGAGCGCCGAGAGATCATTAAAGACTCGACGGTGTGACACCATTAAAGTGCTGGAGTTGTCCGTCGCTGCTGCTGTCGTTGCTGCTACTGCTGTTGCTGCTGCTGCTGCGGCTGCTACTACCGGCCGCTGCAGCTCGGCCACTTTCACGATCGCATTTATGCATTATGCATCGTTTCATGGGCCTTGACATCTGGCAATTGCACGCGGACTTTTATATAGATCCTATCTCTGGCGCTATTCACAACTAATACTAATACAGAATTAATTATATTGCACGTATATGTCGTTGGAAACAATATTGTAAAACCGCAGTCATACTTTTGTCCGCGCTGCACTTTCGTCCGAGATAAAAATGCCTCAAGTTGCGAGAGATAAATGGGAAGAATCTCAGACGTCAATTGTCTGTGCAACAATATGTAGACAGAAACCATCGGCTGACGGATAATACAATGGCGCGCTATCCACAATGTCCCATTTTACCGGTACGTGATCGTACCGGTCACTGCTAGTGATGAGAATCCACTACACATGTGCCATTGCCTGTGCTTATTGTGTACGCAAAGCCTTTAAAAATATTTTGACTACATTATCTTCATTCATTTACTTTTCACTCACATAGCAGATATTTCAGCGCTATCATGTGTAGACGTCAATCACTTTTTGGGGGATAAATTTCGGGATAGAAGTTGCGAATTACCTGTTCGCTGCACAAATTCGTGGGCAGTGATTGTTGTGCGACTTTTGAGCGATTCGAAATCTTCGAAATTTTTCTTTAATTTTCATCCATTAGACGCGTCACTTTTTACAGCAATCACGTTACAAAGAAGAAATATATATGTCAGAAAAATACTGACTTAAATTGCGAACAATATAGCAACATCTGTTTTGATTTTGACCTGCTTGAAACGTCAAATCTGATCCTTTGCAGCGCTATAATTTTCGGCACTTTGAATATTGTTGATAAATCTGTACCGATCGCTCGAAACGCGACACCGTGCTGATCACACGCGATATAGATCCACCAATATGTAGTTATGACCGTGCAAATAAACTGCACTCTCTAAATATAGAATAAGTGTACACGCGTGCTTTAAAAAAAAAAAGCCGCATGGTTGACACATGTAATAAAGTATTTTCAATCACATCCGTGTTTTCAATAGATGCATGTTGAAGCACGAAAAAAAGGGCGTTTTGTCTACTCGGAATATTAATTTACGCTAAAGAAAATAAACTTTTTCACAAAGCGCATTAAAATAACGCAAAAATATAAAAAACTAAATAAGAAACATGACCGCACACACAAATGTATTATAATCTGTTCAATGAACTTTTAAGGTTAGGCAAAGGGGATAATAGCGGAACGTTATAATAATATTAATTTTCGGGACAAGTACAATGCCAGGTATAGAAACAACAAATGTCGGACGTCACGTAGACGGATGGATGACGGATCGCGACAGGAGAAAATACGAAAGCATCCGACTGCCATAGTCGGTGGTAGGATAGTGTCTTTCGAAAAACTCAAGGTAATCCCTCGCTCACCCCCCGTAATCCGATTTAACCCTGACCAATCGCAGCCGCTGTCGGTTGCCGGTCATGTAACGGAACGACCACCGAGGTAACGTAAACGAGAGCAATCGGAAGGAGTCATCCGCCACTGTGAAACCACATTTAATTTTTCATCACTACGAATCGATCGAGGGATTTAACGGTCGTTTGTAGATATGATTATTTCGGTCGAAATGTGTCATCAAGTTAAGCAATGCTTAATATTTTCCACTGATAAACTGTTACAACAGAAAATACATGTTTACATCTGGCACTTCTCACGCGAATAAAGTCATTACACTTTCAGTTGCGCTCCTGAAGTTCAAACGTCGTATAAGAGTTTCCGGGCGGACCTTTAGACTACTTTCGAGTAATCTTATTTGTAACAATTGAATCCTCTCATGCACGCGAGTTCTTACAGATAATAAATTGTTAGAATCCGCGTGTACGGGTTATAGGTTTAAAATCAAATTCGTTGGGCTACGTTGAGACGGCTAAAGTAGAGTAAAATCAGAATATCTACCGCGGAACTAAAGCCTCTGCGGTGGCTGCGCGTTCGATAAAACGGAGACTCCTTCGGCGCCGTCGCGCGCCCTCGATTCTTCAATACGCTAACTTCTGTCGCCGCTCTGTCTGAGGTATGAGAGCTACGCGATTATAAATATAAGACTTCTTCGTACCGAAGTTGAATGTTATACTTTAGCAATGGCCATCTTGACGAGGCCGCATTTCAACAGGGTTGAACATACTCTCTGATCAATACTCTGCGAAAATACTACTTGAATTTCTCAAGTAATAGAAACATAATTGTTTCTTATAACTGAACTTGTTAGTTCGATAATAAAATATCCTCCGTGAACTAAATCGTCGTACGAAGAATAGCGATATTAGAAGAAAATATCTGGCAAGCAAGTAATAAATGTAATGAAGCGAAATCAGTGAACGAAACATTGAGAAATTCGCCCGCGACAGAAGAATGAACTAAAAGTAAGTGAAATATGTAAACGCCCTAGTCTGAGAGCGGGTGGCTGGCAGCCTATCAATCTTATCCAGCTATCACTCGGGTACCGAGTCCAACGTCGAAAACAGTTCGTCGCGAGATCACAGCAACAGAAGCAACAGCAGCAGTGGCGTCACGGCGGCAGGAACAGCAGCAGCTCATGGGATCATGTCGTTCCTCCCCTCTACGCGGGCAGCTATCAACCCTCTCCGTCCCACATTCTGCGGGATACATCGATCGCTCTCTCTCTCCTCGTCTCGCTTCCTTTCCGCCCGTCGGAAAGGGGAGGGGAAGGCGTGAGAGGTGCCGCGGGTGCCGATGGTGGTGGAAGAACGTTCGCGGTGGGGATCGCATAACCGGCCCGGCTATACGTGGAAGGGATAATTAACCGACACAACTGTAGCTCCCTATGCTGCCTAACGGAAGGACGAAGAAAGGTTACCATGGCTACATGGATGGGATCCGGCCAATCCCGGTGTACCTCGTAGGCGTGGTCTGTGCATCGGACCCCCCGATGCCGTCTATCGCCGTCTCCTTTCCTCGCCCGTTCCCTTATACGAAGATTGGACGGTGGTGGAGGTAGCGAGACAGAGAGGTAGAGGTAGGGTCTAGAGCGCCAGCGAGACAGCCCGGTTGCAACGGGCGCGTACAAACGTATCATGCTGGGTAGGGCCGGTGCCGAGATGCCGGCTTGTAAACGAAACCAGTTTGCTATCCGATACGATCCAGGCAACAGCGGCCTCGCGTGATATCCCCACGACGTGGAAGAGCGTCAGCGCGCCTGGCCTAGTGGGTGTTACCTGAGCGACCTGGAGAACGGTCGCGCGAACCCACCTGACAGCGATCTTCAATGGGCATCGGAGCTCTTCACAACGCGATCCTGCTCCAATTTAGACGTTGCCACGTGCCACCTTTCGGGGATTGTTTCGAAATTAATCAGTGACGTGTCGCGACGCGCGCAAGAGAGAGAGAGAAAGAGATAGAGAGAACGGGGAGAGAGGGAGAGAATCGCTAATGTGGGCTTTCAAAATTTAGTACCTGCAGAAATAGAGGCGCTTGTTTTTCGGGCAATTCTCTCACCTCATAAGAGATTGTAACTTGTCGTGTCTCTCTCCAAATGTCACAACACCTGATCCGTTTGTACTTTTGAACCTTAGAATTCTGTGGTGTCGATAGTGAAGTGGCTAATCATCCAGTGACCGTCACGTCCGTTTGTAATGTACGAGCGTACCGCGCGTGACTCCAGCGAATCATGAGAAGGTCCAAGAGCAAGCATAAATCGGAGCCGCGTGCTTCCTGAATCCCGGACAAGACCGGGTGACATCGATACTCCGAGAAGACAAACTACGCTTAAGTCAAAATTGGTGTATCCCGAGAGAATCACCCCGTTTCGGGAAGATGTCCGCCGCTGGGACCACACCGCCAAACGCGAACGGTCCGCTTGTACCTTGCCCGTATCTTGCCCTGCCAACCTTATCTTTCTCCGTCAGCCAAGTGGCAACGGTTTGCGAAACCCTAGAAGAAAGCGGCGACATCGAGAGGCTGGCCAGGTTTCTATGGAGCCTTCCGGTCGCTCATCCCAACATTCAGGAATTGAATCAAAGCGAGGCTGTTCTCAGAGCGCGAGCCATTGTGGCGTTTCACTCGGGACATTATCGGGAGCTCTACGCGATACTGGAGAGGCACAAGTTCACCAAGGACTCTCACGGTAAGCTACAGGCGATGTGGCTAGAGGCGCATTACCAGGAGGCCGAGAAACTTCGTGGCCGACCGCTGGGTCCCGTGGACAAATATCGCGTAAGGAAGAAATTCCCATTACCAAGGACGATTTGGGATGGCGAGCAGAAAACGCATTGCTTCAAAGAGAGGACTAGGTCGCTGCTCCGAGAATGGTACCTCCAGGATCCTTATCCGAATCCGGGAAAGAAGAGAGAGCTGGCCGCAGCGACGGGACTCACGCCGACGCAAGTTGGAAATTGGTTCAAGAATAGAAGGCAGAGGGATCGCGCTGCTGCAGCGAAAAACAGGTGTGTCGTAAATCTAATCCTATTTTCCACCGTTCTTTTCCTTAACCGGAAAGGGCAAATTACTGAGAGGATTAATAATCGTACCGGACGACAAAAATCACACTTCCGTTGCGATCCTGTCAAACAACTTGTCAAATTGCGAATGGTTAAACCCGTTCAAATCGCGATATCCTCTTTTCGCAAGATAAATAGATCGACACACACACACACACACGATTTTAATCAAGTACGTTTTATATGAATGCGATGGAATATATTTACTTTTCGGGACAATGAAATATTTTCCGTATACTCTGCTCGATGTCTGGTGTTCGCGCATGTTTAAATCTCCTTCAGTGTCGTTAAATACGCGCTAAATCAACAAACAATTATCGCGAATACTCGCACATACACGTGTGCTCTTACGAGAGCGCCGGTTCATTAATAACAGCGTAAATTATTGAGTCCACGATATCGAAAGTGTTAGATAATCATTACGGCGATATATGATAACCATTTAATGTTAGAGATATGCATGTGCGAGTTCTTGAATGTTACAAACCGTTGCATTTAATCGTTGGTCACACAAAAGTGCAGACCTGAAAGAATCTTACGGAAAGAAGAGAAAAGGTATTCTCCATTTCACGGTAACACGTGGCTAAACAATCAGTCCGTATAGTTCGGAAAATCGTTTGTCACCATATACGTTTTGTATACCATTCGTTTCGCAATACCGCAATACGAGATCTTTCTATAATACTAATAATTGGTTACGTTGAGCCGCACATTTGCCGATTATCGCAATTCTTACCGGCGCGATCATCGTTTTACAAAGTACGCGAACAGAATATTCCATAGGATCAAAACGAAGAACTCGATTCATACGCAAGAACATCTTGGAGACCGTCTGCGGTTGGTCACGATATAGAAGGAAAGTTTTGTTCATTAAGTAGCGTTTAATGGAAGTTAATCGCGAAACGATTAGTGGTTTAGGTCCCTTTAGACAGATTGTTGTACTGTGTCCTCGGCAAACGAGCCTTTGTGCCTGCCCCAAGGTCCCCGTTGTGGAGGGTCGCATAATTTCATTTTGACGTCCGACGGAGGGTCGCTGCCGTCGGGCGAACGACGATTTTCGAATTACGTCTTTCAAATTGTGTTTTGACATCGCGCTCTCTCTCTCTCTCTCTCTCTCCCTCTCCTTCTCCCCTCGTCTCTTTCCCTATCCCTCCATACGATGATATACTCAAACGCCGAAGTCCAGGATAGCTTTAAAATAGCATTTGAATCAGTCTCAGATTCTCTCTCCGTCTTTGTGCGGGAAAATGAAGGGGATATCACGCGAATGTATCTTTTTGTCTCTCGTTATCGAATATCACATTCTTCGATTAATTACGTTTCTAAGATAACAGCCTCGAGAGAAAACGGCCTTGTTACAGATTATTACTTATGTCAAAAATAAACAGAGTGTATAAATAGAAATAATTATCTTCTCGAAACAATTCACATCATTATTGTGCTAATATACAGTCTATATGCTCATACAAATATCCGAGTAGAAATAAACCAGTGTGGAAACAAGTAACTGGCCAACAATTGACCTGGTGATTTCTGTTAGGAATCGAGCCGTATTTCGATTTATTTTCTATTTAAATATTTCTTCGATTCCGCGATCGATTTCAAATCTGAGATGAAAGGTGACGTTTAATGAGGGCATTTACCGTTTCGAGGGATCATGTAAAATCGTCCAGTTGACCAAAAAAAAGGAGAAAAACGTCGTGTCCGAATAATGTAAGGATTATGAAAGGGATGAATTCCTTCACCACCGAATCACGGCTGGTCGTTATTAAGGGATCATCGGCAAAGTGCAGACTGTAGAAAAACGGAAGTGGAGTCTTCGTTGGGAATTACCACCTGTCATTTCAATTCGATTCGACACGAGCGGCTCCGTTGCGAGCAGGTAACGGTCTGCCCGCCGTATTGTTCGGCTATTTATCGCCCGACGCCACCATTATTTGCCTATAAAAGGGAAACTCGAGGTGGGTTTTCTATGCCGTGAGCTGCTCCTCTTCCTTCCTTCTCGTTAGGAAACCTCGAGTGGTCTCAACGCGCGTACCGGATGTTGCTCCCGGTGTGATTTATGAGTAAGAGACCTACCCGAACATTTTCGCTATTGCTTCCTCGGGAATCCTGGGCAACTTTCCACATCTCGAACACGCGACCTTGCATGCGCGATGTTACCGAACGCACATCGCGCTTTTGATTCTCGGGGAAAAAAGTGTTTATCTAACAAAACATCTAAATGAACGTTGAAAGATAATTGAATGACTTTTAGGTCAAAGAGACAAAACACCTGTGCCTTTCCACAATAAAACACAATAAAATAAGAGGGACCGATGCAAATATGCAAAAAGCACTTGGGCGTCTGACGAACAAAATGATTTAGAATTCTCGATTTATATTCGTAACTAAATGGATAACTAAAACCACCGCTGTCTCGAACACTTTTTGCTACGCAAGAATCAATTTATATCCTCCGACTGCTGAAATGCAGGCGAAGAATCATGTTCAACGTTAAGTCGAATAGGTGTATCGAGTTCCTCATATCGATAACGGAGCACGGGCCTGCAAGTGACACGCAACATTCTGGCGGATTAAAGTGCTAATTCATTTCGCGCCGGTGCGTTATTTCGATCGTAAATCAGGATGAATGTTTCGATAACCCGAGCTCGATAAAAACTGCCATTCTCCCGTGGAAAATAGCGTCGACCTAGATCTGTCCCTATGTGCGCGGACGTATATCGTGTAATTATTGCGCTCTGAATGAAGTCATTAATAGTCATTACCTACGTCTAACGCTGTAATTGATATATCGTTAACGGTCGACGATGGCTCGACCATACTGCTCTAATTGATCTTGATGAGCTCGCGCAGCGGGTAAAGATTATACGTTTCGAGCGTGCATTGTCTCTAAACCGTCGTACGGCGGTCACGCGTTCATACAAAATGTAAGAAAATGTTTATATAACTCTGCCACATAATCACCGTAGGAGTAGAGCCCGCACGTTGCGTCATTGACGCAAGCCGATCGTGTTCTCGTGTTCGGTTGTTGCTTTGCCGTCGCGAGAAAATACGCGTAACACAAGATTTATTAAGCGGAACACAATATTGCATAATTCTCTCAAATTATGCAACGCGATAAGATCGAATGAAAACTGTACCAGAATTTCTTTGTGCGTGATGACGAATCGCGTCGCTAGAAACGCCGCTGCAATGTACGCATACTTCATACGCAGCGTTGCGATCGAAATGTCATTTTACGCAAATTTGTGAAATAATTTCCGAGAACGTTTACGTCTACATCGAGCGATTGCGAAAAGTAAACAGCAATTTTCTTGAGAACGTCATTGAAATGTTAACGTGATTCGACCAACCGAGGAAACGCCGTTCGAGACTCAGAAAATTATTATTATTATTAGAAGAGACAAAAGGCGTTTTGCTCGAGGAAGCTGAACTTTATGTGACGGCAAAATTCTGCGTGCTAATCTACCGTCGTTGTTTAAATAATACAAAACGGTTAAAAAAAAACAAGGAAGAAATCGCTTACGTTAGTCTCACGATCTCGCGGCTCTATATTCAACTGAAGCTATCCAACAATGGCTGCGACGTACCTATCGTTACCCGACGTAATGACATTCTGTGTCTGGCCCCGAGCCACATTTTCCTGCACGTAATCCATCGAATCTCGGGACGGAGAGTCTTCGGCTGTGTACATCTAGATAGACATAGGG